TTTTTAAAACTTTATACAGACATGTTTGCTTTATATTTTTAAACTACATTTATTTAATATTTATTAAACTTTCTTCGAGTTATGGGACACGCTTCCACAACATCTCGGGCACAAAATTTTCTAATATTTCTGCTTTATCTTTTCTTTAATTTCAGATTGCCATTTTCTTTTAACAGAAATTAGATTAAATAATTATTTATTTTTTTTTAAATTTTATAAATCATTTACAATATATATCACTTGCACTTATTTCACAACATATTATATTACTTAAAAAATATTGTTACACTGTTTTTAAAAGGGTTCATAAAGTGTACTTTATTTATATATTTTATTTTTTCTCATAATCAAAGTAAAATGGTAACAAAATGATATTAAGTTATAATATGTAGTTTATAATCTAACATAACAACAGTTTAGTTTCTCGAAGAGAAGTATTATCAATGAAGAGACAATAACAGTAATTTTTTTCGTTAAAGAATTATTTTTATTCAAATAATATGAAAATGCGATAAGCATCTGATGTATAAAATATTTAGAGATTGCTTAATTATGAAGCATACGCATTCGTGTAATGTATTTTCATAAAAATACAAAAAGCTCTCTTTTCCTCAAATGTTCCAATGATTTACAACACTCTTTTTCTTTAAAAACAACTTTTAAAACTAATTAAATTTAATTAGTTTTAATTTTTTTTAAAAATCTCGTTATGCAGGTTGATCAAAGTTCATATAGTTCGAATACGGAGTTCGGATTCCTGAGAAATCGAATTTTAAAAAGTTATATATTTAAAATTTGATTTCTCAGGAACTATTCGATTAATTTCACTCAAATTTTGTATTTTTCCATGTTAAATTACCTTCTTTTAAAACGATATAAAAGATGTGCACCTTACAATTCAAATTTTTTCTGACTATTATTAAAAAAATAATAAATATTTTCTAAAAGTTATTTTTAGACAATTTACACAATTATAAGCTACCCTTATAATTGTGTGCAAACATTTTTCAATTCACTTGAAAAGCTCGAGTTATTTCTCAGATTGCGGCTAACTTGCATATTTTGGAGTTCAAAAATACGAATCCTTCAAAAAAAGAATGGTATATTTATTTAGCGAAGTACTTTTTAGTGTCTGATTTCGCAACTTAAAATATCCCTTTTACACTTTTAATTAGCATATTTTAAGTAACTCCCTTGAACCATTAAGAATGAGTCCTAGTACATGATGATCTGATCATTAGATCAATAGTTATCAGGGTTGTCCGTTTCTTTCTTTCTTTTTTTTTTGCGCACTGAACGTCTAAAACATTATAATTCAAATAATATAAAATTAATTTTTTTGATTTATCTCTAATTTGTTCTATTGTGATGTGAAGAGGATTTTTTGTAATTTAATTTTATTAAATCGACCAGTATGTACCCTGGTCTATTTCCGTACTTTTTGCCTTTTTCTCACTGCTATCAAATTAGTTATTTCTAGATGTTCTTAAAATAAAGGACCAAATTCCTAAATAATGTATTGCCACTATTTAGTCTAGAGTTTTGTATCTAATTATCCGTATTTTTTTCTTATTATCTGTTATTATATAATGTTTGAAAAACTTTATTATACTAAGAGCATCGGTTTTTTAATTGAACAGTAAATAAACTAACCAAAATATATCATTTGGTGGCAGCTATTTTATTTATAATTGTCATAACAAATCGTAATTATTTACACTGTGATCTTGAATGAATTTATTATATCGCCATGATTTCATTGTTTTGATGCTCGCAAAGGATAATTATTTAAGAAAAATCGATTTCCATCAGTTTTAATTTTAAAAAATATTGGGTAATCATCCAGTTTTGTTATAGTTCTTCTTTAACACAGAGCTATATTTGATGTGTGCGCGTATCTTTGTTAATTTATTATATATTTAAAACTTTAAATTAAAATTGTACTTAATTAAACAAATTATCAGAATTCTTTTTGGCAACTGAAAAACACAATAGAATTTTAATTACAGATGATAAAACAGACTTTTTATTTCAAACCAGTGATGGTTTTGAATACCATTGAATGCATTACAATTTTAAAGAGATAATTTTATTGCTATAGTTAATTTTTATTTATTTATTAATCTATCTTTATTTAAATACAATGCAATCATTTTGCAATATTGCCAAAAGGGTTAAATACTTCCAACAATGTTTTTATTTCGTATCGTGCAAAAAAAGGAGAATATAAATATTTTAGGAAGGCCGCCAGTACGAGATTTGCCATAGGCGCTTCTTTCCATAGATACGCCTCTGTCGTCAACCGCTCTGAGAATATTGCACGTAAGCACTGCGGTTGGTGCGATCAAGAGCAGAATTGGACCTATCAAGCTGTCGCTGGGGTTCGAACCGGAAATACCTCAATAAAAAGTGAGTACTCAATCCCCTGAGCTACCATGTCTCCCTCGTGGTTGATTCGTTAGTTATGTTCTTCGTTTAAAAAAAAAATTCTTCAAAAGGTGAGGAAAATTCCAAACATGTACTTTGTTGTCTTAGAGCTCACAAACGTGATCTGGAAGTTGTTTTCCTTTTTCAGTATTATGCAGTTCAGATAATATTGATTACACCCCATTCGCATAACAGCTTAAAATAAATCTAGAAATCCCATTAAAAATTGATTGCACTTTTGTCTTATTCTTTTATTTTTTATGTCAAATTTTTTTCCCTCTCTTATGTCGTATTAGAATATTATATTGGAAATCATTACATCTGCCCAATGTCTACATAAAAGTTTATAAAGACATTATCAGTAAAACTTATTACTTTTACATCACGCCATTCTTCTATTCCCCAAATTGATTTTGGGCAATTAATAAAACTATTCGCTGTTATATCATTATCATCCCAGCGAACAGATCGTTATTTTAAATTATCTTAATTTCAATGACACGATAAGGTTTAGAGGATATTTGTATAGATGACGTTTTCTTATAAAAAAGAATGTTCTGTCTTCGTCAGTCAATTTCAAACTTAACTGTTGACTTGTATAATTCATTAAAACAAAAACGAATAGTTTTAAGTAAAATCAAGTGTTTTGGGTTTCATGTTTTTTTTTCTCTAAATATATTCTTAAAAATATTTTAATATTTTTTTTATCTCTATGCCTGGATATGATAAATAAGGCAATTTTGAAAAATCAAAATATAAATGACCAGTTATTATTGTTCCACGGGATTGATTGTTGCTCTTTAGAGTTCAATTTCCTATTCAATTTAAAACGTGAGAAATAAGTTCGTCACATACTTTCTTGGGAAAAGGCGACGATGAATCATATAAAAAATACTTCTGGAAAATTGTTTATCTGTTTCCATTCCACGATTTGAAGGTATGTTTATATTTATGATACTTTGTGATTTGTATATCGTTTTTATTGGAGCCTTGAATTATACATTATAAGCGAGTAACTGTGTTTAAAAAAATGAAAAAATCTTTGTTCAATTTTCTGATAGTTTATAACTAACTACTGAGATTCAACGACTATCGCCTTAAAATAAACTTAAAAGTTAAGTGGAAGAACGATAAACATTAAAACGTCTTCTCTGAAGTAATAAACAAGCAACGCAAAATGATGGGAAGAATATACAAGGCCCGGCGCTAAGCATTGTAGCGTATTTCATCAGACTGTATGATATTTCAGGTAAAAAATGAGAGGTTTTTTTCACAGGTATTTATTTCAATTTTCTGCAATTCTTTATGCATGGTTCACGATGGAATCAGCTGGGAAGAACGATGGTTGAAAGTTCATGCCAATTGAATCACAGTGGAGGCCCTTTACAGCCGTATAAGGAGGCCGATCGTGCTCTCGGTTAATGGGATACTTGCAAGTGACCTAGTGTTGTTGTTTACGTTAGCAACTGTTCTCTCCATTCTATTTCAAGTAAGCCACGACAGTCAAGTATCAATTCTCTTGAATGACACATTCTATGTTCTTTCATACCGATTCTTTCTCAAAGATTTCAAATCTTTCACTATATATTCATACAGAAATTTAGCACAAAGACAGGCACGAAGCCATGTGCAACACATACAAACTAACTGTCCATCGAAGTTGCTAGGTACACAGAACAAAAATATATCATTGTTACGATAAAATACATACATTGTTACGAAAAATATCATTGTTACGATAATAAATCTGAGTTAAATAAAAGAAGTAGGCCACGAGAAGAGGAATATTTCAACTAATGTTTCGATGTGCGATATTGCTCTGTTGTGAGATGTAACTCCTCTTTAATTAACATTCTAATTTATGTAGAGAAACTTAGCTCAACTGTAATAAGTCATTTGCTTACAAAGATTATCGGGTGCTGATCTCATAGGTCACATGTGTGGGTATTGGAGGTCTTCTTCTTGAAGTGCAAGTACCCAATTGCGTTCGAAACACAATTACGTCTTCTAAATAATGACTGAGAGTTTTTAACTTTTCAAAAGATAATTGATATGGCTTCTTTTGATATAAATAAGTAGGTACCTTATTTACTTCGCAGTTGAGCTGCACAATGGGATACTTGTGACGGTCGGGGAAACATCCCTGAGGAGGATCCGAAGACCCGCCACAGCAATCCTCTGCAGTAGGGGAGGCTTCCCCGCTTTGATAGTCCAACGACCTGCGCTCGAAGTTGAGCGCTTTGCAGTAGAACAGTTTAACGAGAACCGATACTGCGCACCCTCGGTCCCAACGCAAGGTGATCAAAGTGGTCACCCACCCACCTACAGACACCAGCCAGTGACGCTTTATTTCATTGTTCTACTGGTAACCATGTCTTTACAATCAGTCCAACGTGGGACTTATTTTGGTAACTGGACCTGTTCTGCTGCCCTAGTTATTATGGCACAACGGGATCCAACAATAAGACCTTTTTTCAGGTGATGAAAGATTTCTATCGTTTTTCCCCACATTCTACTACGTTGCTTAACTTTTCTAGAAGTTTGTTGAGTTTTCATCCGCGTCATGAACTGGTTTTACACACTTTTCTGAGAAGGAGCATTTATAATAGAAAATCTCACTGATTTCTAATTTATTCTTCAATGTGTGGATTCATTTTTTTTTCTTCAGGAATGCATCGAGGATTGCAAATTGCAGACTCTCCGATTCAGGGAGGAGTGCATTGATGAATCCATTGTTTACACCAACGCCAGGGAAGAGGATAGGTTTTGCAAAGGTAAGTAACTGCTTAAGTATAAATTTTAAAGAAAGCTTTGAATACAAGCTAAAATGAATTTAGTTTTAAAACTGTGGGTGAAAGAGAGAATTAAAAATAAAGATAATCCCATTCATAATATAAAATTGTAATTTTTAAACTTTATTTATAATATCAAGTAGGATCATCTTGAAAATTAATATAAAAAGAAGGACTTTTCAGACAACATTTTGTTTCATCTAAGGAAGGAGTAAAGTTGACGATTGTCTGAAAAATAATCGACGATTTAAAAAAATAATTAACATAAAAAACAGATGCTATATTTTGCTTTTGCTATTAAATTGTATTTATCCCAAAGCAAGTAAAGTGTTCGAACCGACTGGTTGCATGGTGGTCAGAGTGCTGACCTTATGTCAAAAGGTTGCGAGTTCAAATACCAGTTCGGGTATGGATTAAATTTGCCTCCCTCTGTTCTATCAGTCCTTCTTATGTTGTTGGGATGACGTTGATCCAGCAATGCGTTGCCCACGAAAAAGAGATCAACAATACGGCCCGTTAAGTTCCATAATGGGTTATGTTGCCTATATGGTGGGCAATTAAACTGTTCCGCCATAAATTTGTCGAGGCACCGAAACGGGAATCGAAATTGTGACGGCATATCTACGAATTATCCTCAGATTTTTTTTTTCTTTTTCTGCTCCCGATCTTTGCCATTAGCCTATTGTGAATCTCTAGTGCTACGTAAATAAAGTACTGTTACTCTGCTTTATGCACGATGTGAAAAAGCTTACATTCTCAATAAGAATAACAAAAAAAATACAAAAAAAACTGGATGATATTCATAGAGTTTTGAGGCTGGATTATTAAGCATTGAGCTTTTGTTAAGCATGCGTGGAAAAATAATTCGAAGTTAGAAGTTATTAATAATTGAAACATTTTATTTTTTAGATGAGAGGTCACTAACGGCTGAAATAATTAAATCCTGTACCGAGAAATGTAAACCAGCTTGTAAGTAAGTGCTTTTTTTCCTCTTAAGTTTAAAGCATGATTCCTCCAGTATTAATAGTTTTTTTTCACTCGCTTTTGTATCTGTTCAGGGATAATCTTGCGCATTTAAAATTTAGAACATTTTCCGAATTTCTGAAAAGGTCAAATCTATAGTGGAACGTGTCCGATGAAAATTCGAGTTTCAATTGTATATTCTCCACCACGAGCTAAATTTACTGTAATTTTATAACCAAATGGAATTTCATTTTATTTATGTCACTAAACAGAATTACATCCGACCCCTTTTTGACTGCTCTTTGGGTTCAACCCATTTACGACTATTATTGTATCTGCCATGTAATTTTGAATTTAACCCAGAAGACAAGGGATCTCCTGGATTACGCCTAGACAAAATATAGGTGTCATTGATTTTTTTTTTTTTTTTGACAGAAGTACTTTGCATTTGCGTTTTATGAAGAAAAAACCTCAAAACCTCCATATTCTTAACCCAAATTAAGGAGGATTGTAACTTATGATAAATCTTCCTCTGAGGATATTTTACGTCAGCACTATGGTCGATGTTTGCCAGGAGCAGACCTTAAATCTGTTTAGCACACACTCATAAATAACGTACGAGCTAAAATTCTATTCCACTCTACAGTAATGTTATGCCGATATAGTTTAATGACCAATTATTTGTATTAACTAAAATCATTTATTAAAGACATTAAAATTACCAAATACATAACAAATCAAGCTTTTTTCATTTAGCATTTAAGAGTATCATAACAAATAACATCAAGTTAAATAGAGTAATATTTATTTCAATAGAATATACAAGAGGGTTATTTATTGCATAAAAAAATTTAAGAAATTAAATCGAAGAATCAGATGGAAAGTACAATCACCAATAATATCATATTAGCAGCTTAGTTATACACTAGCACAATATTTTATCCCGAGCTAAAATTAATACATTAATCGGAATATGCAAATGTTGGAGAAATATTTTCGGAATAAATTAATAAGATATTAATAAAATTAATATTAAAGATTATTAAATAAAAAGTGGGTACTTGCTTCAGTCGATTGGACATTACAAAATACACTGACAACAGCACAAGCCTTGATATTACAAAATACGCTGAAAATTTCAACTTAAGCAACACAAAACAGCGTCTTCATAATGGATATTGGCAATGTGGCGAAAAAACATTGTAAAAAAAGTTACTGTACGTTGCTGTCGGGAAAAACCGATCTTCACTTCTTTTGATATTAAGCTAATATCAATCAAGATCGTGTCGACCTGGCGTCGCTTGGATTTGATCCGAAGTTCTATCATTCGGGGTGAATGCTCTAACCCCTGAACTGCCAAGGCTCATCAAATGGAATTTATTTATAACTTATTTTAAAGTAGAACTTTATATATATTTCATAACCGTCGTTAAACAGCCGACCCAATTTTTGTTACAATTACCAATGTTCAACTCCGAATACTTGTGATTTTGAACCCAATCTAGAAGACAAGGGTCCCACAGTGGATTGATCGTCAAGACTCGGGTCTCAACAAATCTCCGAAATCGAACATCACTGGCTGCTGTCAGTAAGTGGATGGGTGATCACTTGGAACAATCTACGGAAACGAAAAGTCCGAGGGTATGCGGTATTGGTCCTGATTAAACTGTTATACACCAAAGCAATAGGACCATCCCCTTTGCAGAGGATCAAAATTGTGATGGTATGTCTTTGGATCCTATTCTGGGATGTTTCCCAGATCGTCGCCAATTGCCCTTTATGTAGCTCCAGTGTAACGTTAATAAACTACAACAAGCAGAAGACGTAGGACATTCTGAATCAAGCCTGGATTGGCGTTACATGGAGAGTAAAACGACGAAAATCTCCCATGGTTAGGCTGACGGCAAGAGACCTCTAACACATTATCCGTCAACCAATGAGGATATTTTACTTTAGCACCGTGGTCGGTGCGAGCCGGGTCTGAAATTCATATAGACCAGCTATCGCTGGGATTCAAACCTCATCTCATTGGGTGGTGAGCACTCTATCTCCAATACAAATCTCGAGTGCGTTCTGACTAGCTAGATTGACCGTCGAATCGTTTGCTGACCTACAGAAGCAGAATTCGCCTCTGAGGGGAATTTATCTCAATTTTGAGCATTTCTGGCTAACTAGAGTACTCAAATTTGAACTGATGTTCTGTGTTGAATGACAATACAAGTTACAGTTGTTTTTGATGGCTACATTTTTTGTTTTAGTTCTAACAAAAAGGAATTGATTTATAGCTTTCAGTATGTTTCATGATTATGGCAAAGGGTTTGATGGGTCGCTAAAAATCAAAATTCAATTATTAAAAATTATTTTTTTTCTGCAACTACAGTGACACATTAATATGATGATAGTATAGGCACGATTTCTAACCTTTCGAATGGGATTTAAAAGACAATGAAACCTCTCGGCAGCTATTACTTTGTGTTCGATGATAAAAAATGTCGTTGTTAGGGGTTACCTCCATTGACTTCAAAATGTTATCGAAGGTACATGATTTTTCGCAAACGATTTGTCATTTTAGTCAGTGTCTCTTTCTTGGGGTGGAAATGTTGGCGTCAAGAAAACCGGTTCGCTGAATGAAATTTAGCGATTATAAAAATGATTTCTACTGATATAATTACGTATAAAAGCAAATTGATCAATGAAAGATAAAACTAATTTAAATAAATAAACAATTATGCTTGTCGTTTAAGTTTGCATTTAATTTTATGTTATAAAACTTAGTTAGCTTTAAAGCTTGTTTGTTTGAAATATTTAGGTTTTGCTAAAATATCTGTTTTTTATTTTCCAATTTAACTTTCAACTCTAAAAAATCAATCATTGATAGCATCATCTTTGTTGCACTCTAACATTTGCCCATCTCTTTCAGAGAATATGAAAAAAAATTAAAAAAAATTAAAAAATCCCTAAATATGAGCCACTCTCAAATATTTTGAATACATTTGAAAAACCTTTTTACTTATTTAATATTTTTCGCTTTGATATTTGTTCGTGTTTAAATATTTGATCTTTTCCATATTTGGTGCAGAGGTTTGCACGGCCGCTGGAGTAGGTTTTGATGATCTCTCCTAAACGTTTTCGTCAACACGAAGTCTAAGAAAAAAAATTCCGTGTCTTCAATAGTGGTCGCTACACGGGGGAAGTTTTTCCTGAAGTTTTCATTGTACCATAGATTCAGACCAAGTCTGACAAAGGTATAAAGCATCACATTTTAATCCTCTGCTGAGGGGACAGCTCCTCAGTTTCAGTAACACGATGACCTGCACGCGAAGTCCAGCACTTTACAGTAAAAAGTGTAACAAAAACCGATACCGTGCATCCTCGGTCCCTTGGCAGGTGTGTTCATCCCTATCAAAGTGTTCATCCCCCGATAACTGACAGCGGCCAGTGTTGTTAGACTTCAGTGTTCCACTGGTAACGTGTCCTTACGATCAGTCCACTGCGAGACTAAGGCTATGGGGAAATAAAATGATTTTAAAAATTATCTTGGAGGCATTTTTGTTATGAAAAAAAGTGATGCTCCCGTTATTTAATAGAGATACGTTAACTTAAAAATTACAATACCAAGGAACATTTTTTTTTATAAAACTATCACCTTTGGAAAATAATAGAGTGACATAGTATAAAAATGTGTAATAATTTTGTCATAAATAACATGGAGTTTTTATCAATGTTCGTATATGATATGAGCATGATTTTGAGATAGTAGGGAACCGATTATCCGGAACGATCGGGACCATCGCTAATCCGGATAACTGATTTTTCCGGTTTTCTGAATCGCTACAAAAAGTCGTTTATTTATTGTTAAATCCAACTAAAAATAAAAAAATATTTAGAAATAATCTTAAAAAGAACAAAAAATGATGAAGTAATACACTAATGATTATTTCTAAAATGATGGTAAGGTAAACATCTTTAAAAAAAAAAAGAAAAATTCCTAAAATCTTATGAGGAAAAAAAAAATTTTTTTTTTTAAGATAGCAGTAAAATTTATCGAATTTCGTTCCGGTTTTTTGTTTTTCCGGTTTTCTGATTTCTGGATAACGGGTTCTGTACTGTACTTCATATTCCATGTCATACTGGAATGAAGAGAGAGGATAAAATGGGACTTAAATATTTCTATCTAGACGAATGAAACATTGTTTCCGATGTATTTTTTTTTTCCAAATCCAAATGGATAGAGTTAATAATTAAGAAGTCATTTGGGTTTCAGATATAAAAATATAGTTTCATGCTTCTTTCGTAATCGATATTGCTTCCTAGATAAAAATAGGTACTACTTTTTTTGTATATTGATTGCAATGAATGTATTGAGACTAAAACAAAGTTGATAAAATTGATATTTTTAGAATTATATAAGTTTTTTCTGCATAAAAATACAGTTTTGTATTTAAACCCACATTTACGCTATTGTCTAGGCAAGTGAGGCATTGGCCCTTATGTACTTTTTTTAAGCTAAATCTTATAAATTAAAATTAATCACAAGTAAAAACAGTTTATAAGTTATAAAGATTCTCTGCATTAAATTTGTATTTTTTGGCTGACAACTTCGAGGTTCTATTGATCTCCTTTTGATTACATTCGATTCAGCAGAAGAAAATGTGAAAAACGTAAGTAAGTATAAGTAAAAAATGGTTGTTTTGTGCATAAAAGCTTTTATAACTATTGATTCTATGGATTATTTCTTTTTCGATTCATACAATTAATCACTAAAAATACATAAAGAACAGTATCTTGCTTGTCTATTTCAGGTGCATTCATTTGTATAAGTGCAAAACTATTGAAACCTATCTAACTTCTAAACTATTGGACTTATCGACTTGACTTCATTCCATTCAGCGTAAAACAATCAATCGGAAATTTGCTTAGAGAGCATAATTTAAGCTTATACCATCTTTTACTCCCGCTTCCCCCGAGTTTAACCCTTTAGATATAGAATAGGAAGTGCCTCAATATCTTAAACTCTTGTTCACATCATGTACTATCATAAAATAAAATTTTGTGCATTTATTACATGGAGCCTGATATTTTTGGCTCAGCTACAACCACAAAAATGTGATTCACCAGTATAGTGCCTTAAAGTCTAGATAATTAAAGAAAAATATTATAGAAACGCAATCTATGAAACTGCTAGTGAATAGGAGTTAGAGTTTTCTATATGAAAGAAAAAATTAAAAGATGCCGTGTATTGGTAGGTGTTGCTTTTTACATTTATCTGAATATCATCGTTCTCTTCTTCGGCATGTAAAACAGCAAAATATTCAACAAGCATACTTATTTCCACTAGTATAAAACTTAACCCTTCGAAATTGTAAAAATAGTGGGATTTCCCATTAGGACTAGAAAAAAAAATTAATTCTTTAGAATTCATAAAATCATATTTTCACATATTCTAATGAAAATATGAAAATGAAAAAAATGATCTATGAAATATTTTCATACTTCATTTTTTCCTTCCCATTAGGTTAAAAAAATTATTTCGTTAGAAATCATAAAATCATATTTTCATATTTCATTTTTTCCTGCCCATTAGGTCAAGAAGAATTAATTTTTTCGAAATTATGAAATCATATTTTCTAATCAAAATATGAAAATGAAAAAATTAAGTATGAAAATCGTATTTTCATATTTTATTTTTTCCTTCCCATTAAAGTAATTCCTAAGGTCAAAAATAATTAAATCTTTCGAAATAATAAAATCATATTTTTTTGTTTATTTCATACGATAAAAGTAATTATTCTAATGCTTATATAATTTGTATTAATGAATAATAATTTTTCATTACTCTTTTAAAGAGAACAGAAATATGAGGTAGAGTACCAAGAAGTGTTTGCAGCTCATGAGGTAAGTATCATGTACAGCATATTGTATTTTACCAGCCAGATCAAGGTTACTAAACAGATAAGATATAATATATTTTTAAACAAATTATTAGGTAATTAAATAAAAATAAGAGTAGCACAATCCTATCTGTCGGCTAAGCTTGGCCCATGGTAGCCCGACTTATCGCCTTCACTGCAAGACTTGACACTTTAATGCGCTATATTTTAACAAATAACACACTGAAACCTCCAGGAAGGACCACGTCTGTTTACGATCACTTTTGGGGGGCATGGAGTTTCTTCCATGTTGAAGAAAACCTTTAGAAGAGATCATCAAAACCTCTCTCAACGACCATGCGAGCCTTTGCATCAAATGAGGAAAAGGTCAAATATGGAAACACGAAAAAATATCAAAACAAAAAATATTAACTGAACAAATAAGTAATTTCAAATGTTTTCAAAATATTTGTGGCTCTTATTTAGTGAGGGTTTTTTTTTAGGCATTCTCTGAAAAGGTTCGACAAAAGTCAGAGTCCACTAAATATGATGCTATCGCAATGATTTATTTTTAGAATTGATAGTTAAATAAGAAAAAAAGTTATTTTAGAAAAAACCAAGCCGCTTCTCATTTTTTAAAGCTGACTAATTTTTATGATATAAAATTAAATTTAAAAAAATATATAGCATAATTTTTTACTTATTTAAAATAGCTTTATCATTCATAATAGTTGGTAAATTTGTTTTTTACACATAATTAAATCAGAAGGGATCATTTTTATTGACACTGAATTTTATTCATCGATCCGATTTTCATGACGCCAACACAAGTGACATTTGCATGCCAAGAAAATGACAGTGACTAATATTAAAATCGTTCATGTACTTTTAAAAACATTTTGAACTCAATGGAGATAACCCAACCTCCATTGACGACCATTTCACAGTGGATCAGAGAGTGGTCACTCCCGAGAGGTTTCACTATTATACTTCAAGTAGAGATATACTGGAACCTCAACTTTAATTCATAACGTTGAGTAAAGAGGTCGTTTAAATATTACGTAAGCATGATTTTTGCAGTTTTGGATCCCTACCTTTTTTATCAGCGAAAAAAAAAAGACAAATTACAACCCCATACCTACGTAAAAAATTCACATTGACCCTTTATCATTTTTTTTTCTCCTTTAATTTTGACTGAAGCAATGGTAAACTAATTTATAGATAAAAATCAAGTAAAAAAGTGTAACTTTGCTCAAAACAAAATTTAAGCATTTAGTTCAATTTGTGAAATCTTGAGTAGAATATTTTATAAAAAGCTTTTGTGTTTTTCATCTGCGATCAAAAGTTTTAAATCAGGAACAAAAATGAAATTACGAATTTCTGCAAACTCTGAAGACTTTCAAGAAAGAAAAAAAATTTCTAAAATTTTCTTCCCCCCAAATTAAATTTTTTCTTTTAAATCTAACCATTTTTTAAACGTAAATTTTTATTTTAAATTTTTTTTTTCGCATTTGAAAAAAAATTAAAAGTAAAAATATTTTATTGTGTATCTTAAGCATTTTTTAACATTTGATAGATTAAACAAAACAAAAATTAATTACATAGGCCATTTCCCGTTTAAAAGAAAAAAAAGTAACTTAATTTGCAAATGTTATTTAAGACAGGATTTAGGTCTGGTATAAGGATCAGGGGCTGATTAAAAAATAGTGCGAATTTTTCGAATTAGCCAAGTGTAGGCAGCATTGTCTTTAATTATTTCGCAAAATATTGCTCATACTCCTGTTTCTCATCATGTCAGCAAAAATAAACAAATCAGAAAATTCTACCCACTCCCTTTGATTGTGCGTGCTTACTCAATATCAGAGCTCAAGTTTTGAGGAAAGTTGAAGGATCTAATTCGGAGATTGAATCCCTTTTCCGAAACGTTCGAAAAAAAGGTTTTGTATCCGTACGGAATTTATACAAAAGTTAACCCATCTCTGAGAAGATAGTGCAACGTGAAGGCAGGCGTTATCTTGTTGTAAAATCCAATTTGGGTCACCAACTCTTACTGCAACCGAAAATGAATATGTTTTAAGCGTTTTTGGTGGTCGATAACTTTGTTACTGGCTGTGAGAAAAATCAGGATAAGTTAATCAACGAATTTATATATTTGAAAAAGATATCCTCTCGTTTCTTCATCTTCTGTTTCTTTCTTATTAAAGTTTTACAAGCGATTTGTTATGTAAAAAAAAGTGAAATAGTAGCCCCCTTACAAAAAAATAAAGTGTTTTTGAGATTGTTTTGAGGCTGACACATGTAAAAAAATACACCTGAGGTAGAAAATAAGGTTATGTTTTGTACCGAAATGAGTCATTATGTTTGAGTAATTATGTTTAGGCCCTATAGCTTCTCTAATAAACCTCAATTTCAACCTCAGTCATACCTCAAAAAATCAGCCCCATATATAACTATTTGCTTGAAATGTAGAAAAAATAAACACGTATACCTCAAAAATAATCTCTCTAAACTGGTTGGTCTAAAAGTAGATTTTCATCCTTTCTAAAAACAACCTCAAGTGTGAATAAAACAACTTCATGCACCTTGATTATGCACCGAGGAAGGTAGCTCTTTTAAGGTTGTTTTTCAACATCAAATCAACCTCAAAAACACCTTAAATTTTTGTAAGGATTATGTTGAAAGATATCTTTGAGGCAAAGAAAAGAAATAGAAAGGAGAAGAACTTGGATGAACCATGAGGCTTCTGTTAGTAGGTCATGAGGAAAGAGATTAATTTCTTCAATGCACAGCAAGGTGGAGGCTCATTAATGGTGTGGGCAAGTTTTGATTAGGTATTCAGCTTTAGTGTGCTTTTCACCCAAGCCATATCAAAGCTGCCGATTATTAAAAGATGATGGAATTAAATTTATTGACATTTGCAGAGAGGATTGATGGTCCAAGTTGGATTTTTCAACAGGAAACTCCTGCATTCACGTTGCAAAATCTTTTTTGATGCTAGATAAATTAGCTAAATTTAAATAAATATAAATTATAACAGAATTTCAAATCTAATCAGTCGTCGATTGAAAGCTTTTTTTATGACTGGGGATACTGCCATCGTGTGCACGCCACTAGTAACCGTATGGTGAGTTCATATTGGCGGAACAACTGTCCGCCGAATTGTACTTCGTTTATATCTGAAAGTTATTCTTTCGTTTATTTTAGGAATCGCTAAATGCTGAGTTTCTGCCCGAATTTCATTCTTCAGTTATTCATTTAGTTTAGATGATATTTTAGAGTTCTGAAAAGCAGTGAGTTTGAGATAGATATCTTATATTCTCCGGGACAGATTTGCCATAGGATACCTGTGGGTGACGTAGTGTGGATATATCGATTCCGATTGGTTGTGAAAACGTGATATTTGTTTACGTTAGCAACTGCTCTCTCCATTCCATTTCGAGTAACCCAAACCCGTCAAGTATCAATTCCCTTAAGTGACAGATTCTATATTCTTTCACGAAAACTCTTTCACGGAGATTTTATTTCTTGCACTATATATTTCTTACTTAATACAAAGACAAACACAAAGCCACGTAGGACATAAGCAAATAAATTATGCATCTAAGTTGCACAAAGCAGAAATATACAACGGTTACAATAAAACACATAGACAAATATTAAATCTAAGTTAAGTAAAATACGTCGACGGGAAAGAATTATATTTTAACAAATTCGATGTGAGTTACGGAGCTGCATTTAATTAACTTCACTTTAATTAACATTCTAACTTATATGGAGATACTTAGCTCAATTTAAACAAGCCATTTTGCTTAGAAAGAATCAGCTGGCATTGACGTCATAGGTCATATGTTTGGGTATCCTTGATCTTCTTCTGGCACCCAATTAAAGTTACAATTAAAATTTGCAATAAAAATGCCATGAATTCAGAGAGATAACTTTGAGTTGCAAACAACTGACCACCAATTTTTATCTTATTTTATTATCATTTATCCAACTGAACACTTTTGGAGGCTAGTACTTAATAAGTTACATTCTGTTAATAAACAAAAGAGTTTCACAAATTTAAATTATTTCATTGAATTTTTTACGATCTTTAATCTAATTGGACAAATTGTACATTATATGGTTTTAGGACTTATATGTTTCTAATTCTTAATTCTTTTAGTGTCAAGAAAAGGTACTAATAAATAAAACAAAAGGTTACAATTTTCCTGATGGTACTGCTGAGTATTGCAAGTAAGTATTTTTTAATTAACAATCACATTACACAACAAAACTGAAATTTATATCGAATATCCGATCGAAGTGAAAATCGATCGATCAACGATGTCTAATTTTGATGGACAATGTTTAATGCAACAGTCACTCGCTACCTGATTTACTTCAATTGTGTTAAAAGTCATTCAATTTTAAAAATGCTTTCTCTGTAACATCACAAAAATGCGGTAAAGTAAATATAAAGCGCAATGACCGCAAAAGAAGACACTGTACGCTACGACCTATGATCACAAACTTGACCTACATACATGGGAGTAAATACTAGTATTCAAATACTAATACGCCATGATCATAAACTACAATTTTGGCAAAGCATCATCCGAGCTTTCAGAGTTGTATTAGTGAATAGTTAAAATGTTTTAACCGTGTGGCTTTGCTTCTCTATAAATCATGTTTTGTAGTATTATTCCTGAAATTATTATTTTATGAAATTTTCTTTTATTAATGTAACTGCATTTCTTCGTCGAAATTAGTTCATTCTATTGATAACTAATTGTGATTTAATGGGCTATAGAGTAGCACGTCTCATGCCACTACATTGAAATTTATTCTAGTAAAGATTGTTCTTTCACTACTTTCAGCTCATCTGCTTGAAGGGGAAGTCAAATGAACACGCTTTACAAAGTGACAATAAAATTTATTTTATTCAAACAAAAAAGTGTTAATACATTTATATCTCTGGCAGAAGCACAATCCAATCAAATCTTGTAGAAATAGGCATTATATTTTATTTTCTAACCGGCAATATATTTTTGTGTTTACATCTATCATCGTTCAAATCCGTAGCCTTGTCATTTTGAACCCAACGCAAAAGACAAGGAAATCCTGGATCAAGCATTAGAAAAAATTAGATTCCATGAAGGACTTTTCGATGGAACTTAATTTGCTTTTGCGTTACATGGTGAGGAAAACCATGAAAAACTTTTTTTTCTCTAAACGAGCGTGCAACACGGAAGCAGTAAAATGCTCTTTACTTGTAATCAAATATTAAATAAATATGTAACAGACAGCTTCGAAAAGTTACGAGATCATAGAAACTACTCTGGTAAGATAATTTGATGAAGGAAATTATGAAACCACAACTGTTATCAGCGAGACTGTTATGGTAACAGTACAGCATCGGTTTTAAATTTTTCAAGAAGATATGATAACGTAGAACAAAATCGAAAAAAAAAAATAGAACATAATTTAGGTTAAGAATACTGTAGGTGATACATATCTCTTGTCTTTTTCAGGAAGAAAGAAATTAAAATTGATATTATGTTCACAAGGTTTCGGTTGAAAAAGCAGATCTATGAGCCCAAATATAAAGTAGGTCTCACGTTATAAAATTTTTCTCAATTTAATTTGTTTTAAAATAAATTATTAACGCATCGAATTTAAAAATTAAAAATAAAAGAACATTGAAAATTTGTCATAACTTTTTTTAATTTGAGACATAAATCATTCTATAAGTAATAATTGTCTCGGTGCATTGTCGTATTCGAAGTAAATAATGGTCTCGAGAGCATTATTAGATTGTGAGATAAACTATCATTTTTGTGACATTGGCTGTGAATGACCGAAATCGGTGGTTGTTGACTTCCACCGGTGAATGTTGACAATCACATAGTCGCTTCGGTAAATGCCTGAAACTAGGTCTAGTTAAGTGCCACTGCCAGGTATACATTTGCCGGGTATGCCCTACATCACTGTTTTTTTAAGATCAAGTGCCACTTCTCAGTATGCATTTAGCCGGTACTCCGAATACTGATGTTTTTCCTCATCTATCTTCAGTAGATATTCCAATATCGAATGGATATAACAATATCAACGAATAAACTAATATCAAATCGGATATAACAAATATTTTAGACATTCACCAAAGCGATTACGTGATTGCTGACATTCACCGGTGAAAGTCGATATTTTTTTGATTTCGGTGACTCACGGCAACAACTCCATTTAATAAACTATTTTTCGCATGAAACCGTGATGCATTGTTTTCTCTGGGAAGGAAGCTTTCAGTCTAGTTTGCTTTTTAATGATTGTGTTTCATTTTATCTAAATTTCTATATGACAATCAAGGAATGAAATGTTTAGAGCACATATCCTCCTAAATGTGTTTCGATGATGTTTCGTTTTTAAAATATACCCAGACTTAACTTAAAGAAGGTCATTGTGAAGTAATATTTATCTGCGAATGTTTTTGAAGTAAGTTTAATACCTCTCCTATTAAGAAGACTAAAAACGTAAGTTAAAGGAAGTTGTTAAGAAACACATTGTACAATACTAGTGATTATGTTTTATGTTATTTTTTTATTTATTCATAATTAATTTTCTTTTTGAGCAGATTGTTGAGCTGTCTGGATACATTGCAGGATGTCTTGGAATGTGGCTTGGCTTAATGATTTTATTCTTTTGTTGAATACATCATTCTTGGAAGATTTCAAGGCCTCATCATCACAGGAGGGCTGTTTTTGAAGTGAGGGCCGTTTTGTTGTGTACAATTACAGGTGACGCGTGCGGAGCAACGAGTGCTTGCGTCGTGTCTCGGCATTCTTCGGGAACAACATTGTGTACGGTTGCAGCTGTGTTTGTACGGTCAGTCCTGTGTCTTTAAAATGCTTAAATTTAGCAAATCGCCCGTAGCGTATGAGGTACAGTCAGAGACGTATTTTTACCCGGCAAAAAAACCTGTCTACTACATACATTCACCGGCAGATGTGTGAAGTTTACAATGCTTCCTGCTGTCATGATGACAGGAAATTTTGCTACTCCTTGACATCGACTCTCTCCACAGCTGGAACCCGAGCTTTATTGGACTCATTTGGCTGGGAAGGTTTGGACCATCCCTCCATACAGCCCAGTTCTTGCACTGAGGGATTTTCATCTTTTCCGATGCTTCAAACACCATTTTAGCGGCTACCAGTGCAACAATAACGAAGACGTGAAAACGCTCGTGACCTCCTGGTTATCAGAGTACGCAGCAAGTTACAATGAAGAAGGTATTCTAAATCTAGCTGTCATGTATGATAAGTGTTTAAGCAAACTTGGCAACTATCTTGTAACCGTCGTCGAACAGCCGACCCCATTTTTGTGCTTACAGCTGCTAATGTTCAACTCCGTAGCCTTGTAGTTTTGAACCCAATCCAAAAGACAAAGAAACTCCTGGATTAGGTATTGGGAGAAATTTGTCTTCGTGGAGGACTTTTTGATAGAACCAACCCATATTTGCGTAACATGGAAAGGAAGACCACTAGAACTACCCATGATTAGACGGACGGCAAGAAGACTTTAACCCATGACCCGTCAACCACTGAGGATATTTTACGTCAGCACTGTAGTCGATGCGAGCCGGGTGCGGAATTCGTATAGTCCAGCCATATCTGGAATTCGAACCCGGTTCACCTCATTGGAAAGCGAATGCTCTATCCCCTGAGCCATCGCGGCTCTGATTATGATGATTTTTAAAAACTAAAAAAAAGAGAGAGCGAAACATATGTAGATTCAAAAAAGAAATTTGCTCCTTGAAAATTTTGTCTCGTTTGGTTTTTATTTTCAAACGGCCCTTGCTTAAGGAACAGCCCCGTAATTATCTTCTTTGTAATTATCATCATTATAACTTCATTGTATGTAATTCTTTTTTCTTTTTTTTTTAATGACAATCAAATATTTTCAAGGTTGTAAGAAAATCGAGTTTAGGTTGAAAAACTTCATTCTTTGAACGCAAGAAAGATTTCAGATTCAATAAATTTTGCTATATAGGATCAGTCACACAAACACATTACTTAAGCATCATGTTTTTCACGATTTCGGACTCCCCTCAAACCTAATTAACAAAAATAAGCAAATAACAAACCTCATGCTTGTGTAGGAAAATAGCATTGTTTTTACCCACCTTGTTTTTACTGACTGCAATAATCCAATTTTAGGATTAAAATCAAATAAAGGATGTAGCTTAGTAAAAGCAAAATTACTTATCAAATAATTTTTGAGTAGAATATTCTTTAGGAATTTTTTACTGCTTTTCTTCCGGGGTTAGAGCTCTTTCCCCCCTGAATTTCTTAGAAGAAATGTTTTCTCAACTTCCTTTTTCACCAAACTTAACTTTCATTTTAAATTTAAAGTTTTTCCAAGCATAATTTTTGATAGAATTCTTCTTTTTTTAAGTTTTGAACGAAAGTTTGCGAATAAGCATCATTATATTATTATTTTTTTAATGCCTTACGCAAACATTGCTGATACTCCTCCTTACCTTTATTATACCCCCCTCCCGTCCCCGTTAGATGTTTAAGTATTATTTTAAATTCTCTTAAAAATTGAATTTTTTCACTTTCTAAGTGTAGTGTTATCTACCATTACAATTCCCTTATATATATAAGATGTGTTCAACTCGATTCCACGTTGGGGTACGTTTTCATGGATGAAAGTTGACATTGTCAATAACTACTAGCCCCACATTGGAGATCTTCGGACGTTATGTGAACACGCCTACCTTGGTAGAAACGCCCACTGCGATTTGAACACGCCTACTTCAGTGGATGGTTCACATTGAACAGCTGACTTGCTATTTGTGACTGCGACATTGTCCTCCTCACGCTGTTGCTTCTCAGTCTCTATCACACACAACGTACAACGTATACGTTCGACTGCTAAAGGCAACACAGGATCGACCACGACAATGAACTTAATGCAACTCTTACGATCAGCACTCAAAAAGTATGGTGATCTTAATGCTACTCTCCTGTCTTCTCACTAGGCAGCAATGAATCAATTAATGGTATCCTATTCACCTAATTCTATCACAGATAAAATTCTGGTGGGGGAGTACTGTAGTGTATATATATCTGCTGTTACAAAAAATACAATTCTAAATCCCTTGTGTATAAGACATGTTTAACTCTATTCTATGTTGGGGTACCTTTTCATAGATGAAAATTGACATTGTTGATAACTACTAGCCCCACACTAAGATTTATTCTTTTAGAAAGTCCACAGGCATTTTAAGGTATGCTTTAACGATCATAAATTCCTTAAAGTTTTTATAAATCTGAGAGAGGATGAATTTATGGCTTGAGAAATTGAACTTAATGCTTAAAAATAAGCTAACACGCTTTTTTTAAAAAAATTTGCCGGAATTCAAAATTTTATCATAACTCAACTCTGAAAAATGATAACTGTCAGTTATCTCCCTTTTCTATAGATAAA